CAACAACCTATCTGGTGCGCCCTCCAGACCTCTGTGGAACCAGGGAATCCTCATGGCCGGTTCCAAGCCTGGGAGGGGGGGACACAGTGTGTTGGGGATATCCATGCTACCTAAGCTCCAGCCATGTCTGCAAGTGGGTGCCTGTTCTATGTGTCCCCCGAACCATCACCACCACCAATGCCTGGCGCTGGCCTCTAGGCCAATAGAGGCAGTGGCCAATAATGGGGTGTTTTAAAGTAGAGGGGTGTATAGCCTGACCTTGGGCATCTTTGAAATTTATGGCACGGTCAATGTAATGGTGGCTTTCCATATAAAGATGTGTAAGGAGGGAATACATGTTCAAAGTCTGCAGGGAAGGTACACGGTGTAAGTGAAGGGATGCAGAAAGGGGTTGTAATACCAGAGTTGTAGGAGGAAGTACACAGAGGTATTGGAAGCCCCAAAAGTCTTCAGATAAGGCTGCTTCCTTAAGGTAAAGTGAGTCCGGAATATGCCGACTTTCTCCTAGAACTCTGCCTGACGACTTGCAATAGCACAGGTGTAAGAGGAAAGTGGCAAAATACTCAGGACCTCCAGGGTGGAGCCCTCGATGGACTCAGGCTACTAAGCAATCATTGGGAGTACAGGCAACAGGAGGAAAGGGCGCAAAAACAGCAGAGATGTAAAGTGGGAAATTCAGGACATTTCCATCTGCGCTTTAAAACTAAAAAGAGATCCCAATAAGATGCTAAGAGAGGTTAGGCCAAATGCCAGTCGATCTTATCCTGAGCGACAAGGGATGTTCTGTAGAGACTAAGCTCCATGTTCTTACCTTAAGATGTCTTGAAGCAGGCAGGGAGTGTGAACTGAGGAGGTCTTACAGGGAAGGGACCCTGGACCAGCTTCTCAAGGAAAGGGGAGGGATAGTGTCAGGATGAAATAAAGCAATAAGGGTTGGGGAGATGTTCAGCTGGCACCTGATGGGCGGTCAGGCTAGGGAGAGACCAGTGGGGCCTTTGGATGTCTACTGCAGAGTTGCCGCAGCCAAGACTCCTCAGTTGCCCACAAAGGCCTACAACTCAGCCACGCGCCAGTGTTCAGTCTCCTCGCAGAAAAGAAAAGGCAGCAGAGAGATAGGAGATAGCAGCTGAGAGATGGAGAGTCTCCGGATGGCACCCTTATGGGCAGTCAGACTGGGGGAGGACTCAGGGAGCCTTTAGGGTTCACTGTGAAGTTGCCACAGCTGGAACCCCTCAGTTGCCACCAAGAGCCCTTTGCCCCAACCTCGCGCTGTCCTTGGCTCCTTCCTTACAAGAGAGATGACAGTCAGGCTACGACCAACATTCCTCCAGCTCAGCACCAGAGAGGATTGATCAGAGCCTTCCTGCAAAGCCTGTCCTCTGAGTCTTAAGATTGGCAGCCGCGCTAGTCACCTTTACCTGGCTGTCAGAGGCCCAATGTTTGTGTGACAGAAAAATATAGATAAAGGCCCGTGAGTGGGCAAAGCAAATAGAAAAGCATAGATTACGTTTACCTCATTTGGTCCCAGGTGAGCCCCCAAATGATGTAGGATATTTCTTGTGCAGGGGTCGTAGTCTTGTGAAGCTGAAGAATGGAGACATGAACCAGAGAGGTAGAGTTTGTAGCAGAGGATAGTTTTATTAAAGCAAGGGAAAGGTTACAGCTCCCAAGCAGGAGGGGGTACCCGGATAATGGGATGCTCCCTAGCTAGGGTAAAAGGCTTGAGTTGTATACTTTTCTTTCTGCCTGGAAGGGGGAATGCTGAAATACAGGTGCCTGTTATTAAGGTGGTTATCAGATTTGTTTTGTTGCTCAGCCTTGGGGAGGCCTTTCGTAATGTCCTCCAAAATGGTTTTGTTGCTCTGGGGCATGATTGATGTCTCTGTTCCAGTATGAGGGAGTTACCCTATAATTTTGAAAGGAATGGCTAGTTTAAGGAATGGCCAGTTTTTTCTTATCTTTGCTCAGCCTACCAGGAAATTACTGCCTGATGTTATACTAACTAACCTGTCTTATGAACATAAAAGTTCCTAACTAAAAGCAGTCCTGGCCGGTAGTCACAACTTTGGCCTGTAGTTTCCTTGACAAAGGTAAATCTTGACCCAAAATGAGCCTGTCTATTGTCTTTTTTGCATCTAAGCATACCCTTGGAATGCCAGAGTAATCCCTTTTTCCGGACCCCTCAGGGCACAACCCCCTACACCAGAGCAGGAAACTTCAGAATCCCTCCTAGTTGTTGTCCCTTGATTACCATCTCTATGTGCTGTAAAATGCTAACTACTAACTATCCTGTACCCACTAATGTAAAAAAAGTATCTATCCAATTTACTTTTATCCAACACCAGAGATTTCCCTGCTTTGCTTCCTCCCACCCCAGTGATCTACCACCAATGAATTTCATGTAATCTTCTTCCTTTGATTCTGATGTATAAAATAAGTTGCAAAACTGCCATTTTCCACAGCATTTTCTCAATCTGTTGAGATTTTGATTCCCGGCAATTGTAGTCAGTGTGGCTCAAATAAACTTTTATAAGCTTTCTCTTAGGCTGGCTGTTTTTCATCGACACAAAATATCAAGAGGAGAAACGAGGCAGAAATCTCTTCATCACAGTTCTGCCTTAGTCCCAAAACTAATAGAAAAAGATACAACCAGACTCAGAGTTTTTTGAGATATCTGATGTTGTAAGGATCTCGGCCCGGACCCTAGGCCAGACAGACTCACGTTAAAAATTATACTTCAGCTACTCCCGTTAAATTTTAAAAACCTAAAAGCCCTTTTTGCTTCTGTATACCTGCTTTGCTTCTGCCGGGGAATAAAAGGTTAAAGAAAAGACATTCCTCAGTTCCCCCTTCCTCCCCTTGCCTCTATCTTAACAT